CGAAAACATTGGTGAATGCCACAAATTCTCCTAAATCACTCGTACGCACAACTTAAGCACAAATCTGTGCGTACGAACGGTTCTTGCATGAGGCCCAATGAGTCTGGCCCCTGCAGGGCACTCTGGGACAGGAACAAAAGGTATGTCACAACAAACAACGGGCTTGTCCTCACAAGTATTATAAGCCCCATGTGAAAACGGTGCACTAAACGTCCATGTGTTAATAATGTTCTTTACAAAGCGGTAAAAGAAAAAAAAAAACTGCCCCAAAACATAAAGTTTTACAGTGACTGAGCCAAGAGAAGTAGCCCCCCTGGTCCCAAGTTACTACTATTATTGGGCAATGGAGAGTTTCGCGCATGCGCAGTCCGGTTTTGCCGTCAAACATTCCCAAAAAGCTCAACAAGAGGGAAATGGACTCGCGTGACAAACACAGCTACACGGTCTGATACGCGGTAACAGCGGCTCTCGGAGCCTGGCGCTAATCTTCACCCGTCTTCTCCAGTTCCGTTCACAAGCCKAACAGAACCAGACGAGCGACAAAACGAACCGACGCGAGCTGATGCTATTGTCGCACACGGTCGGGATGTGGAGTTACGCACGTGCAGCAAGTCCATTCACAGATTAAAAATGTTGCCACTTTTTGGTGGGGTCAAAGGCTGAACGGAAAAACGGGGGCTTTTGCCAACACGAATGTTATAAAACAAAGAAACGACTGCGTGGTTTTCTCAGAGCCGCAGCAGCTAATTTAAATACAGACCAGGCCCGTTCCTTTTTAAATGGAGCTCACCGGAGAAGAAAGTGCTTAAACGAGACAGAAAACCCGTCGAAAACAACAATAAAATAAAGACACCGTCTTTTTTTTCACTATACACACACAAATGTTCTTACCAACGAAATAGGACACCACAAGGGGAGAAATGTGCCGTCGTTTCCCTTTTTTTTTCCGCCTCCACGCCTCAATCTCCGGCTGTATTTTCCCAGAACCAACGTCAAGATTCCGGCAGACAGCGGCGGTCCGGTGCGTGTCAACCCCGGGGAACGGCTACTCTGCTCTCCGCCGGCTCATGCGACCATGTTGCCCTGGATTTGTGCTCTCTCATCCGGGCCGTTAGGAGGGTTGATCCTTGGGTTCAACGCTGCTGCTGGGAG